AAAACCCAGTAATACTTTGCCCGACCCGGGAATCGAACCCGAGACCCCTTGCCCGGCAGTCGCACTTGCGACCACTCGGCCAACGAGGCAGTCAAGATTTTATATGAGTGAGAAATTTTAAATAGCAAGCAATTACATAATAAATCGATTGAAAAACTTTGGTGAGAATAAAAAGAGGGTAAAGAAGTGTTTGTTCAATATTAAAATACGGAAAATCTTTGTATGTTTAAAAAGAAATTACAGATTTTTTTAAATAAATCTACATACCATTCCAGATCGATCATCAAAAGTTAGCAATCTTCCATCATACACTATCAATTCTGAGAGCTCCATGCCTCTTCCCTTGTGAGAGTACGTAGAGCTCAGTTGTGTTGGCTCTCGACTGTCCCATGTCACTTGCACGGACTTCTTTACACGATTGTAATTCAAATATCCTTTCTTTAAGTAACTAATGTATGTGTGCTTTTGTGTATTGCTCTTGGAATTGGTATCTAAGTCTGTCACTATCCCAATTCTGAATGTAACTAAATCTCCGTTGTATAACGGTGAGGTAAGAGGGTACGTTAAATTGTATGGTCTCACTGAACTGGCCCATTTATGAACTGCTGCTGGCTGGCTGCTTGTCCACCAATTGTAATAAAACAACACCACAAGGAATGCTCCTATCAAACCAATTAATAATACAAATTGTGGCTGTATCCTCACAGCGTTACCGACCCTGTACGTGGCCGGGGTGCGCAGTGCCTTACGCCAGTCACGAAGTGTACCTTTCATTTTACGATCTTCTAACTCGTAGTACTCGTTCATAATAAATAATACAATTATATCATGTTAATTTCACTCAAATTGACTTTAGACTTTATTGTATGACTAGCCGAACCATTAATAAAATAGCAAACGTGTTAATTACAACAATTTCAATGTTATAAAGATATTATTATCACCAAATTGATTGCACTATTTTTGAGAATTGGTTCTAAATAAATGTATTTGTTTATCACTTTTAACTATGCCTGAAGGTATCCTCAATACAATAATACGATGTGGAATATAGCTCATTTTGGATAAAAAGGAATTCACAGAGTTTTCATTGCTGTGCTGATACAAGTTTATGACATAAAATGACAATGACTTCAATGACACATGCTCAGGTGACAGGTATCGTAATGTAACCTTTTTGTCAATGGTTTTATTTGACGTTTCTTTTTACCCTTTGGATTTTACTTTCAAAATGAAATTACTAATTTAGAAATATAAATAAATATTGAATTCAAACACTTACTAGATGCAAGATTATGATGCAACATTTTTAAAATCACGGTGCGTGTGCTGTGCGGTGGGGTTAAAATTTATTTGTGATTATTTTAGAATGTTGGATGTTAGTTAAGGGTCGAAGTTGGTTAGATAATCTAAGGGGCAGTAGCGTAGCGTTGTTTGGTGGGGCCTCGTATAAAAAATTGTTTTGGGCCCCTTATGAAGGGTCAACAAACATTACTCACAAGAAAAAAAAATTGCATAAAATATTAATAATTAGTGTGAAATCGGAAAACTTTCCAGGCAACTCTCACTGCCCAAATTATTTATCAGACTGATAACTTTAGTTTTTCTAAAGTTTCTACCAAGCTTTGAAAGCGTGCTTTACGCACTACAGTATCGTTTATTAAAGGACTTCTCAAAAAGGAGGTGGTTTTAAATTCTGCCTGTATATTTTTTTATTTTTATTTTGACTTTTTTATATAACAAATAAAAAATTGGGAAGTTTTTATTAATTTTTCCTTACGCAAGTAGGGAATCCCCGTAGTCTGGGGGCCCCGTATAATTGATATGGCAGATTCGGTTCTAGCTACGCCCCTGCTAAGGGCCAAGGGGTCGAGTGATAAACGTATTGTAGGTTGTAGTAGGTACACACTTATAAGACTTAGATATATGTCTTTGTTAACTGTTGTAATCTTGTCAATTCACTTGGACGTCGACTTCAGGGATACCTACCTAGTAGGTAAGGTATTTTCCAAATATGCCCCAGTCATTAAATTACTTACGAGTTTACTTGTAGGCATACCTAATTAACTAACCCAAAGAATTTAAACTGAAATTTCAAACAGTTGGAATTTGTTACGCAGGTTGGTATGGTACGCACTGTTATACTAAACTACTTTTAGTCGAAATCACCTACTTTTACATTTCTTAAACTCTAAGATGCGTCTATTTTTATGCTTTGAATGAAGAGTATCTTTTATCTAGCTATCACTGCAACGGCCACACTAGTTCGGTAGGTACACGATAAAAAAATTCTTGTAGCTTTCACTTAATAAAGAATTTCAAAAGTGATTACTCTCATGGACGGACATCCTGCGCAAAAAATGTAATTGAAACAAAATTAAACTAAACTATTTGATAGTATACCAATTAGACTTATTTTTTAGTTGTGTTTAGGTTCCTATGTTGTATGATGTCCGAATGTTACCTACCTAGGTTTATTTTAATTTTGGACGTTGCTATTACTTACATACCACCTATTCGTCGAATTTTCGTTTAGCGACGCCTGGTAAGTACTGAATTATAATAATGTGTAAGAAGTACAGAAGTCTATTTGGATGTAGATAGCTACATAGCTACACTTAACTTAGTTCTATAACAGCTATAACGATACCTATATTCACCTCAAATCAATATTGGTAATCAGGTACGCCCTTCAAATTGACTTCCAGTAAATGAAAATTTATGCGGGAAAGTCAGCATTTCGGCACCAACGGGCGGTCACAGACGGGAGTGAAACAATGGCCTCTAAGAAAACTAACCGTGAAACAACGCTTGTGCGTTTCGCTATACGATTACTATCTTCTCTCTACCCAAATACATACCAGCACCCAGCAACTTACGTAGGTACCTACTTAGAAATTCCTCTGGTGTAGGTGTAGTGGTGATCTGGGCAATTAGTGATTGCGTAGGTATACCATAGTGACCCTAAGATGTGTTTGCCTTTTGTCAATTTTGTCCCCTAGATATCATATTATTATGTTTTATTTAAGGTTAAATTTACATATTTTTTATCTATGTTGAAATAAATCATCTATGCAAAGCTCTGGCTAAAGTTATGACAGATTTGACAGATATTTTGGCCGTTTTTATTTAAAATTATAAATTAATAATAATAATAAATTATAGTCAGTCGATAAGGTAATTCCCTAATATATTAATGTAAGCAATGAAACAAATATTAAATAATGCAATAGCGCATGGGGAATGGGTGAATACATTATTTCAAATGTTTTGTGGTATTTGGAGTTCTTCGCATTTGCTGTTACATTGATAGCATTCTTCTGGTTTGTTTTATATTTAGCCAGTCTGAATTACGTGAATTACGCGCCTAAATACGACTTTAGGAAGAAGTAAGTAATTTATGAAAAATATTGTATTTTTATAAATGAATTTTTACAATATGACTCCACTTGTGTTGATACTTTTTTACGTTGTGGTCAGAAGATGAACTCCGTCATTGATGCGATAGGTACGCTTAACATGGAGGACTGTAGGAGTTTGGAGTTTGCATTAATATCTCAGTATTCCTATAATATTTTCAGGTATATGGCAGATGACACCTGGTTGCTACAAAGTTAAACGTAATGGTAATAATAGACGAACAGTAAGTAATTTTACCATTGTTGTTGATTATCTGCTAAAAGCTTAAATCCAACGGCATTAGATAACTACGTGGCACTATAATAGCTAACAGTTACTTACTTAAAAGAGAGGTGCCCACTCTTCTCTATAGTCTGTAACTTGTAACTTTAGTACAATAAGTGTTACTCATATATCTTTTATTATTTTATTTACCTATAGATCTTTTAATTCCTAGTCCTGGAAAAGCACCCAAACCTCGTGTGAGATCCCCGAGAAGAAAGGTTCTTGTTGACACTCAACCTGTATGTTGCGACCCTGGATGTGTCTGGTTTTGTAGCGTTATAGTCAGCATCGTGACAGTAGGAATGTGTTACTACCTGGCTTACACACTCCTGGCAGATACGAAGCTCAGGTTTGCTATATTTATGCCCTAACAGCACCGAGACAAGACATTCAAATGGAAGAAAGCGATAAATTCTGTTGGTGTAACTTAAATTTACCAATTTATGTCGTTGCTTGTCTTTATGTCTTTATTGTACTTATTTTGATGCAATTTTTAAAAGTGAATCAATCCAAAGGTGTTAAGTAAAATAAGGAAATATCGTTCATTAGGCAGCTTACAATCTTCGCCATCATATTGAATGGTTTACAAAATAAATGAGATAAGTACTCGAAAGGATTAAATAATGTTTTCTATAAACTGGTGGCACAAGAAATCTTTTACTACCAGTTTTATTACCTATTTCTATGTGGCGTCTGTGCCTTGTAATTTTGTTTTAATAAGTGATTACAGTTTGTGAATGAAAATAAAAATATGTACAATTTCATTTGTGTTACTTCTTAATTTAATTAAGTGTACTCTCTAAATTCGCATGCAAAAAGAGTACATCGATTTAGTAAGTCAAATAAAAGGAATTAAGCTATTAGGTATTATAATTGAAACTAATGACGGACGTTGAAATGAAAGTCAACCGATCATTGAATGAATGCTCAGCGTCGATAATATCTCGCCTCTTGAAAGACGTTATCTTTGCGATTGTGATGAGATGTGTTTGAAGAGGACAGCGTCAAATTTAGATTAAGAAGATCCACAAGCTGAAGTATTTAATTTATTTGCGATTTGTAAAAACTCAGTCATACAATTGATATTCTTATAGCCGTTTTTTTTAATTATCTTGATTTCGGTTAATATAATTTCATAGTAACTATCGTGAGTCGTACTAAATTAACTAAAAATTGTATGTGCGCGGTCGCGGCGGTGATGTCGCGCAGCCTACTGGCCTTCAGACCATGGCCGCGACGGCGCACGCTGTTCATGAGGAAGAACCCCTCTGTGGTTCGAAATTAGTAGAGCTTTTCTCGGTATATTCACGTGAGTAACCCGCGATTTTAGTTAATTTAGTATGTCTCACGATAGTTAATATAAAAACAATGTAATTCTGTTCTAATTGTTGATACTTTATATACATAATTTAATTTCATAGTGGAGGAATTATAAACTGTACCTTTGAGAAAAATAATAATAAAAATATCTCCAGAATCGGTCTTCGGTGGTAGTGGTGGACTACTTTCGGTGGTAGTGGTGACTTCTTAGTGTTTCTGTACCACATTTTGTGGTAGCCAAATCGTAGGAAGCAGTTATTTGCACAACCAATTCGCGTGGAACTTCTGTCTGTGATTACTGTGTCGTATGAATTTCGTGTGCATTGTGATCGATACTAAATACACGTTAGTTATGAAAGTTTTGGGGGCAAGTTTAAAGGAAATTCATTACTGATTCATTGAATTTATTTGCAGTATCTACTCGTGTCGCCAACGTATTTGTTTTAACTGTTGACTAGCGTGCTAAATACATGTCATTTAATTAGTAGGACTTTAATGTTAGTGTTTTTACTAATAGGAAGTTCACGAATTGCATCGTTCTACTATGAACAAGGTTATTCTTGTTAAATATTTTGGAGGTGTATTGAACCTTTTTATGAGTAGGTGGTACAGGTACCTATTACCTATTGAAAGAGCCATGAATACCATCTGTATAGAAATGTACATACAATATGAAATCAAAATTGAACAATCATTCCAGTTACATTTTTGCATTTACAACTTATCTGGTGCTAGTTTTGTTCAGAGGTAGTGCTGATCAGTCAGTCACCAATCATTCTGTTAGTTTACCCCCACCACATAAAAAAAAACTCGCCAGATGATAATATTTTGTTTTTAAAACGACGAAGCAATCAATATTCATTAGATTCACTCTGACAATTTGCTATAACAAAACCGGAAGGGATTTTACTAATGGAACTTCATTAAATGAATATTAAACGCAAGTTTTTTGCTCCCGAAATACTGTGAAACATAATTTACTGGATGTTTTGCGCCTGAAAAAGTTGTCGATTTATTAATTATTCGTGTATGAAATATGGTTTGTGTGTGACTTCCATCTACTACAATGTACGTATATGTATATATGTATGTATAAATATTTATATAGCACTAGCTGACCCGGCAAACGTTGTTTTGCCATATAAATAATTTCGTAGAAGAGTGAAAATTGAGGATTGTATGTATGTTGTATCATTAAAAAATAGAACACACGATAAAGCCGTTTCGGAGGAGTAGGTATGGCAATGAAAACTGTGACACGAGAATTTTATATATTAGATTATAGGTAGGTAGGTACCTACTATTGACAATTGTTAATGTTAATAGGTTTTGATAAATTAGTTAAGTGTATGGAAGTGTGTCTTGTGAACAGATTGGTACCCATTGGAGCCTTAGCATTAGACAATTTGGTGTAGGTTTCGAATGATAATGACTCGGACATATAAATTATTACATATTTACTTGCAGTTAAAGTTACAGGGAAGGAAATAAATATTGACTTAGTACAGAAACTGTGACTGAAGTTATATTAAATTATATTATGGTTTTTATGGAGCCATATCTCTCATTTTTTAGCTGAAGTGGAAGTGGGCTGGTCACATTTGTGGAAGAACCTATAACCGTATAGTAATAATAGTTGGGGTAACCGTGTTCTAGAGTGAAGACCGCGTCTAGGCAAACGTAGTGTAGGGCACCGTCCAGCTAGGTGGATTGACGACATCTGCAAGGTGGCTGGCAGTGGTTGAATGAGAAGAGCTGAAGACCGAGCTCAGTGGCGTGCCATTGGAGAGTCCAGCTGTGGACGAACACTTTTGTAACCATTGGTCAGCTTAGTAGCCAAGCAAGCAGGGTATTGCCTCTGTTCTGAATCAAACTTTATTTTTGTAAATCACCGTAACACCGTACATCGTTAACAAATTTTTGAGAGAAATGTTATAATAAAAATAAATTTTGGTGTGGGGTGTCCTTCATACGTAATTGATTCTTTAACGTATTTTTAATATAATTCAATTTTCAATGGAGATGTCCACAACTACTGTTAATTAGAACAATACTTAGAATTGTTTATTTAGTAAAAAAACTCTTCTTTTAAAGAATTTGTTTGGCCGCAAATAGTGGTAGGTAAGGGCGTATTGTTTATTCGAGAAGGGTACTAATTAAAATGGGGCGGAAGCGGAGCTAGTGATGGATTTAAAAACTTTTTAAGTATACCAATATGAATATCAATTGTTATCTATTTGGTTCAAACTAGTAACTAAATAAATGATACCTACAGAGCACTCTTTAAGTTAAAAATAATATGAGTAGTAAGTTAAGGATTAGATTTTTTAGTAAAACCTTTAAAAACGTAGGTATGTAGCTGTAAGTACCTGTATGATGTGATATCACTAACAATACCTTACTTTGTTAGAAACTGGAGGAGTCTTTTTAAAGGCAAGGCTAAAATATGTTTTTATAAGAACTATCGTGATACATGCTAAATTAATTAAAACTCGCGGGTTACTCTCGCTCTCAAGCTCTACTAGTTTCGAACCACAGAGGGGTTCTTTCTCATATTCACGTGAGTAACCAGCGATTTTTAGTTAATTAAGGCTGAAAGATATTCACAATTAAAGATAGACTTCATTCAGAAAGCTCTATGTACACAAAAATCTCTTGTGCCAGGTAAAACTATGAAGTACAAACCTAGAACATTAGCATAGAATAATAAAATTTTCTCTAACCGGCTTTCTAAATATATTTTTTTATTTATTAATTTCAAAATGCTACTCTCTAAAGTAAAATGGTTTCTTGCGAAAATTATTCTTGGTATTTGTATAATATTAAAATGTTGGAAATACTCGAGACTGTTAATTCGGATGGTCGTCACGCTCACTGGCTCAATAAACTATTTTATGCTACATTAAGTGCTTATACCTATTTGTTTTGTACATATTTTTAGGAATTAGTTAAATCTAATTCATAAGACTAAGGAGATACCATCTGATTTCTTAATAACATCGTCTAGGCAATTATATTTTCATTACCAAAGTCCAGTTCTATAGCTGTTGTAGATTACGAATGATAAATCCATATGCAATGATAATACGGGTGGTTCAACACTACTTTTCATGCACCTACCTATATAAAATATAATTGCTATAGTTAAAAATGGCTGATTTCGGGATTAAATAAATCCGAGACTCTTTCTTCTTTTCTTCTTTTATGTCCTGGGTATACAAATACCTACCTACATGATATAATTTCACGCACCCTTTTAGACCTAAAACAAAGATTTATAGATTACACTTACGACGTGAAACAACACTTTCGGTTGCGTTGTGTTTCGTCGTGTGAGTGAGGTTTCCGAAGGCCCAATTTGAATTAGCCCCAATCTTCCCAATCTCCGAATCCGAACAATCCTCAAATTCTTAATCCCCAAAGTCAGTTACGGGTGTCCATGGGCGGCGCCGATTGCTTACCATCAAGTGATTCGTCTGCTTGTTTATCGGTTTCTACCATAAAAATACTAAAAATGGTCCATGTGGTTACATAGCAGTTCCGTTTATTATCCAGCCAAAATGCCAAGGCAACCGTGCATACAGAAAATCTCTGTCATAAGTATACGTAGGAATATAAATCTTATATATTCCACTTTCATTATTCCCGTTACATATCTTTCTGATTATGTACAGAGTAATGAAATGCTTGAACATGAAGATAAATAATTTTCCTACTTCAATTTGTAGGTGATGTTAACACTGTCTCCCTTCCTGCCTCGTGTCGTGTTATATGACTTTTGTCATATACATGTTGGTTACCGGTTACCGACTGGTTTACGACTGCTCGTCTGGTAACATATACCGTTGCTTATATTTACATACCATGAGTTTTTTGTCCCTTAAAGATTGACTGGGAATCTCTTCTACATCGATCTTGTGCGTCTGCCAACATTTCATCGTTGATAACTTCTTTACACAACGCATCTGTTAGCGTAACGTATTGATGGATATTTCAATTGACACATTTTTTTATGCTACGAGTATTAGCAAATATGTAGCTCTTAAGGAGTCTGCTACTCAATAGCCATGTTTCGACTAATCCAACCCGAGATTCCGTGCTTGGCAA